GGTGGTCACCACATGTCATAGCAAGTGATCAAACTCCCAGTTGGTCAAACTCCTGAGGGAACACTTTGCATGTTAGGTTTTTATATATCCTATATAATAAAATCCTAAAGTGCAAATCAACCCAACAGCAGAATGAACAGTCGCTATGATGTGCACTGACCACCAGGGTGCAGACACTCAATGCAGGAGCTGCCCTGTGTTGGTCAGTGCACTCCCACAGGGGGAGTGCTACTCCGCCAGAAGTGGGGAGTGGGCCTAAGCCAGCAGGCAGACATCCCCCAAGGTGTCCTGGACTGCGATAGGGCAGAGGCTGGGCTGAGGGATCTCCCCCTCAGTGCACAAATGTCATGCATGGGCCCTCTAGTCTTACCTAATAATAGAGAAATGTGTAAATTAACCATACCGCTATGCCCACAGCCAATCAGAGTGAGTGTGTAAATTAACCTAACAAAATGGCAGTTAATTTGCATACATACCTGGGTCCCAGGAACCTCCTCAGCACCCCGGTCACTCCCAGCTGACCATCAGAGGGGAGGGGCCCTTCCCAAGCCTAAGGCTGGGGCAGAGTCTTCAGGATTGGGCAGGGGCAGAGCCTGGGATTGGAGGGAAGGGGAAATAATCAATTGAAACATGTCCTCAGGTGAGGATAAAAATGAAAATGAAAAATAGAAATGTCAGCCAAAACTGGTTTGGCTCAGTGGATAGAGCGTCGGCCTGCGGACTCAAGGGTCCTGGGTTTGATTCTGGTCAAGGGCATGTACCTTGGTTGCAGGCACATCCCCGGTAAGGGGTGTGCAAGAGGCAGCTGATCAATGACTCTCTCTCATTGATGTTTCTAACTCTCTATCTCTCTCCCTTTCTCTCTGTAAAAAAATCAATAATAAAATATATATATATATATATATATATATATATATATATATATATATATATATAAAAGAAATGTCATATAGTATGAAAGATCCATCTTGAAAATACCTAAAGAAAGTTGTCATTTTTTCATGGTGAAGGGACTGGCGTCCGTGTTGATGAAAATATCTTAGCGGCTACGGTGACTGGCAGTGGCTGCAGCTGCAGGGTGATGGGACTGGCGTCTCCCCCTGATCAGCCCAGTGGCCTCCCACAAAGCCATCAGTAGGACATCCCCTGAAGGCTCCCAGTATGTAAGAGGGGGCAGGCTGGGCTGAGGGACCCCTCCCCAGTGCACGAATTTCATTCAACAGGCCTCTAGTATCTTTATAATTATTGTTTTCTTGATGGATTCAATCATTATTATAAAAAGTTCCTCTTGTCTCTGGTAATGATTTTCTCTTAGAGTATATTTTGTTTGTTATTAATAAAGCCACCAAATCAAAAGTGTGCTCTCTTATGCACAGCATATAGTTGGATTTTTTAAAAAGATTTTTCCCCGACAATTGATAGTTGGAATGTTTAATTAGTTTTGCATTTAATGTAATAATTGGTAAGGTGGGATTTATATCTGCTTTGCTCTTTGTTTTCTAAATATCTTTTTGGTTCTTCTGATACTCTGTTAATGCCTTCTTTTGTGTTTAATAGATGCTGTCTGGTTTGTTTACCATTTAATTCCTTTGTTCATTTTTTATTTCATTTTTTTATTATCATTATTTTTTAATATATTTTATTGATTTTTTATAGAGAGGAAGGGAGAGAAATAGAGAGCTAGAAACATAGATGAGAGAGAAACATCGACCAGCTGCCTTTTGCACACCCCCTACCGGGGATGTGCCGGCAACCAAGGTACATGCCCTTGAACGGAATCGAACCCAGGACCTCTCAGTCCGCAGACCAACACTCTACCACTGAGCCAAACCGGTTTCGGCTCATTTTTTATTTTTATTAATTCTCATCTGAGGATATTTTTTCTATTGATTTTTTTAGACAAATTGTAGGGAGGGGAGAGACAGAGAAAGAAAAATCAATGTGAGAGAGACACATCAATTGGTTCCCTCCCCCACACACCCCAACCTGTCAATCGAGCCTGCAATGGAAGTATATGTCCTTGACTGGAATTGAACCCTCAAACCTGGGACAGTTCAGGCCCACCCCCCATTTGTGCTGTTAAAAAAAAAAGTCGAATTGTGTTGAAGTCTAAGAGCGATGATCTGCCCTTGGCCTAGGGGTGTCGAACTCTATCAGAGAAGGGGCCAAAATCTAAAATCCAGCCTAAATCGTGGGCCGAATGGTTTACTGAACAGTCATAAACTGTCATTGTGATGGAAACGCAGCGGAGTGCAGTGATGACAGCGCGGTGCGGGCCACATTGCAAGGCCTGGCGGAACGGATTTGGCCCGCGGGCCTTGTGTTTGACACATGTGGCCTAGAGGGAGAAAAGCTTCATGGAGCAAGAACCACAGGGCCTGGCATTCTGTTCTCAGTGGTGGTGGCTGCGGCAGACAGCAAGGAGCGGCCAACTACCCATGACTGAGTCTCCCAGTGGCCACAGGGGTTCAGAAAAGGGGCTCCTGCCTGCAATGACATCAACGTCCCTGCAAACACTGCGGTTCCTGCCTTGAGACCCTGAGCTGCACGGGCCCCGGCCTCTGACACACAGAGTGTGAGATGCATGTGGTGCTTTACTTCTGACTTGTGGTGCTCTGCTGTCCAGTGAGAGAAGACCAGCAGTGTTGGCTGGGGAAGCACATGTGTGTGTTCTGTTGAGAACCCTGTATGATGCATGACATTGCTCAGTTCCTGAAGGATGAGTGGTCTCTCGGTTGGTTTCAGGAAGTTACTTCCACTCCTCTCTTCCTACATCCTACAATCACTTACTGCCGGTTCCTTTGCCTAATGAGTCACATTCCCGGGGACTGTCTGCTTAGAATGGTGTCAGCAGTGACCGTGAATAGATTCACTTGATCCATGGGAACCACACCCTTGCCCTGCCTCATATGTTCTGTGGTTGGTTTTCTTCTTACCTGCCAACCTCAGCCAGGCCTCCTGGCCTGCAGATGCTTTCAGATGTGAGTCAGGCATGAACACCAGAGGGCGTCGAGTTCCCCAAACTTCTTGAAGCCCATCTCCTCAGGATTGGTGTAAAACTGCTGGTTTTGCCAAAACTGGTTTGACTCAGTGGATAGAGTGTTGGCCTGTGGACTGAAGGGTCCCAGGTTTGATTCTAGTCAAGGGCATGTACCTTGGTTGCAGGTGCATCGCTAGTGGGGGGTGTGCAGGAGTGATTGACGATTCTCTCTCATTGATGTTTTTAACTCTCTCTCTCTTCCTCTCTGTAAAAAAATCAATAAAAAATATGTTAAAAAATATATTATTTTTTTAAAAAAACTGTTAGTTTTCTCACCCTTGAGGAGCAGAGTGAAGTCACAACCACAGGCACCAGCACATTTTCCAAAGAAACCCTGTGCCCTGCCTTCTTTTGCTTTCTGTTGTGCCCTTAGGTGTGCACAAGATTACATGCTTCTAAGCACAGCTTCTCCACTATTCTTGCATTTGTGGTCTAGCACCTCAGTTGGGCATGTGGGAGTTAGTGATGCCTAATGTTTTATCTGCTGCCTCTTGAGGATTCAGCCCAACCTGCAATCCTGCATCAGAGGCATCTTCCTTCCCTTCCAGTTATGAGAGGGGCTCGGAAATGAAACCCAGAATTAAGAGGGGTTATAGGGATTAGCATAATAAGATCATTGACACAATTTTAACATTCAGGTACATTCTGTGCTGAATATTTTAAATTAATCTCTAATATTTAAATTGGATCACTGGATAGAGCATTGGCCTATCCAATAACATTGTCATTCACTGGCAAGAAGTGAAAAGGCCAAGTTGGGGCATTGTCATTAACTGAGATGGTGTGAGTTGTTTTATAGATACATCGTAAGCAATACAATCAAGAAAGAACAATATGTTGGCCGACCAGGAGCTAATGTGGGTAAAATGCATTTATTGGGTTCTGTAGAACTAGAAGTCCATGGATGTCTTCCTGTTCGTGAGTATCAGTGTGCGTAGGCAGATGAGCAGAACGTGCAGTGGTGTGCGTCCTCTCCTGGGCTGGCTACCACCTGAGAAAGAACCACCTCTCTGGCCCCCACTTCTTCCAGTGTAAATGGAGATGATGAAATACACCTCAGGCAGTGATCGGGAGTCATAGGAGGAAGAGCTTCACCCGTCATTAGACACTCTACTAACATATAGTGATGTTATCTGATTGAAATCTGGAGCCACTTTTGTCTTTAAGCTATTAGTTGAAGACACTTTTTTCAAGATTATCTTTAAAAATGAGTGAAGATGTGGTACATTCACACCATGGAATACTATGCAGCTACAAAAAGGGATCTCTTGCTCTTTGAGATAGCATGTAAGGACCTGGATGGAGAGTATTGTGCTAAGTGAAATAAGCCAGTCAGAGAAAGACAAGTATCACATGATCTCACTCATATGTGGAGTCTAAGGAACAAAATAAACTAATAAACAAGATAGATCCAGATGCCGAAACTGGTTTGGCTTAGTGGATAGAGTGTTGGCCTGCGAACTGAAGGGTTCCGGGTTCGATTCCGGTCAAGGGCATATACATTGATTGTGGGCACATCCCCAGTAGGGGGTGTGCAGGAGGCAGCTGATCAATGATTCTCTCTCATCAATGTTTCTAACTCTCTATCCCTCTCTCTTCCTCTCTGTAAAAAAATCAATAAAATATATATATATTTTTTTTTTTTAAAAAAAGATAGATTCAGAGACAGAAGCATGGAACAGACTGCAGAATCTCAGAGGGAAGGTGGGAGGTGGGGGTGAGATTAAACTAACCAAAGAACTTATATTCACCGATGCACAACCCATGGACACAGACCATGGTGTGGGGAAGGCCTGCGGTGGGATGGATGCAGGGTGGACAAGGGTCAGTGGGGGAAATAAGGACATCTGTAATACTTCCAACAACAAAGATCAATGTAAAACAAAAGCAAAGAAACAAAACAAGGAGGAAATACACGCAAAGGGCCCTGACACTGCATGACTGTTAAGCCATGTCACTTCCTGACCTTCTCTGAGGAGTCAGGGCTGTTACAGAGGCTGGTGAGTGCCGGTCTGACTTACTGGACCCTCCGTCGGCAGCAGAAGAAGTTCAGCTTGCAACTTCCGACCACCTTCTCATCCTCAGTGCACATCCGCCTGCACTTGCCCCGCCCCAGCTTGCATGGCTCACACGCAGAAAACTCACCTGCACAGAGAATGAGCTGCTCACGTCCCTCTCCTGGACCCTAGAGGGAGGAGCAGTCCAAGGCCACAGAAGGGGAGGATTTGTGTTTATAATGATAAAAGTGTTTTCAAGAACCAGTGGAGAGCTCTGCTTTTTTCAAAATGGAGTTTGAGAGAGTTCATTTCTAAGCCACAGGGAGATGCTATCCTGGTCCTCCTTGTATTTCTAACCTGCCTGGTCAAAAGGGAGCACCATTGATGCATGCGTGTTTTAGGACTACCCTCTGCATGCCTGGCACTGCTATGCAGGCTACATGATGATAATGGGAGGGACACCATGGAATTTAAAAGATTCTTGGTGGAGGAGTTAAAAACGTAGGTTCAGTTCTACTTTGAGTCTTGTAATGGTCTGTCCTCAGGAAACTGCTGAACCTCAGCCTTCTCAGTTGTCAAATGGATGCGCTACAAATACTGGTCTACATCTCCATTGTTTTAGTGGTGAAATGTAACAAGTTATGTGAGAATATTTTGCCAGCTCTACTCATTCGATTAGCTTTTTGTTGATACTTTAAACAGAAGGTTTCTTTTCTTTTCTTTTTTTTAATCTTCACCTGAGGATATTGATCTTTAGAGAGAGTTGGAGGGAGGGAGAGAGAAAGAGAGAGAGAGACATGGACTGGTTGCCCCCCCTATGTGCCCCAACCAGGGCTGAAGATTGAACCTGCAACCCAGGTATATGCCCTTGACCAGGAATCAAACCCGAGACCCTTTGGTCCACAGGCTGATGCCTAATCCATGAGCAAAGGGATCAGGGCTAAGCAGAAGATTCCTTACATAACTGTTCAGGTTGCCTTGCGTGTTCCAGGTAAGCAGTGTCTTTGTCACAAAAGGAATCTTCCTGTGCTCATCTGGCTCTCAGGGGGCAGCACTGATGTTGTAGCCCCTTGTTTTCCTTCCTAATCACCACCCTCCTTCCCAGTAACCTCAGAGCATTGAGCCTCACAGGTTGGCGTCACCACTGTGTGCCCCCTCACCCCCCAGCCCCATTCCTACACAGCTCAGTTTTCATCCTCAGGCTCTTCCACCTCCATGCCCCTCGTGACCCTGCCTCATTGCCTGCTCCTTGCTCTCTGATGACTGCTCAGCAGCACACCCAGCTAGAATGGCTCCACGCCTGGGGCTGCATCCTATCCTATTCCTTCCCCTCTGGATCTCCTGAACACTAAGCCAGTGGTGATATTCATGCTATGTGTCCCTTACATGCATTGCAACTCACTCTGCTCGTTGGTGACGACCTCATTTGTCCACTTGTGAGGGACACAGTCAAACCCCAGCCTTTGCTCTGGCAAGCACAGACTCAATCACTCACGCTTCCCCTGGAGGTGCACTCACCACACCAGTGACAAGAACTCCAATCGCCTCTAAAACAAAGTCCCTGTCACTTGGCTTCTAACCTCCTCTGACTGGAAGTGAGGGAAGACAAACACTAAAGTTCCACAGAAGAGGCCATCTGCCATGAACAGGTGCCACTGAAAGCCTCTTGAGAACAAGGATGAAGAAAGGACCAGTGTCTTCCTTCCCAAATGTACCTGCTCTCCAGCCACCTCTGGCTCCAAGGGCCTCTGCTCAACAGCTGGATCTCAGCTCCTCGATTCCTGGCTCACTTCTAGATCCTGATGGTGTTATTTCTCCTCCAAATCTCCTTCCTCACTGGGGTCTCCTGCATTAGCCTCTGGACTCCCCCCCTCTCTCCACCAGGATTAGCTGATGGCTGTGCTTTGGTGCCTCCCCTTGTTCTACTTCCAGAGGCAGGCAGGAAAGAAGCAGTACCTTCAGCCTTGGAATCAGACAAGACAGGAGACAAGGTGCTTTCCTCATCTGACCTGCTCTTTGCTGGGATTCTCTCCAGGAGCCCGTTCGCTGTAGAGGTAGAGGCCCCCTCTGCGCAATCACCCAGGAGCCCTCTCTGGGTGTTTACATGCGGAGTTTAGATGCCATCGGTACCCTAGGCACCAGCACATGATTCTAGACGACAGCATGTGCGCTTCTCAGGCAGCAGGTGGTCTGATTGCCAAATGCCCATGCTGCGGTGCCACCTGTGTACAGTAAGTTGGGTGCTTTCTACCTGGAGAATCACAGTTAAGACTCACTTTGGCGGAAGCTGGTTTGGCTCAGTGGTAGAGCGTCGGCCTGCGGACTGAAAGGTCCCAGGTTCGATTCCGGTTAAGGGCATGTACATTGGTTGCGGGCATATCCCCGGTAGGGGGTGTGCAAGAGGCAGCTGGTCAATGTTTCTCTCTCATCGACATTTCTAGCTCTCTCTCTCTCTCTCTTCCTCTCTGTAAAAAATCAATAAAATATATTTTTTTAAAAAAGACTCACTTTGATGTCCTCCTAGAAGCCTAACTTAACACTTGTGACACCCCCGCCTGCACCCTCCCATCCCTGAGCACAGATGCATAACATCCCATTGCTGCCTCTGCTTTGTTATCTGTAAAAATGATGCTTGTAATAGTACCTACCACCTAGGGATATTTCCATTTAATATATCTTTATTGATTTTTAGAGAGAGAGGAAGGGAGACGGAGAGAGAGAGAAACATTGTCAATCGCTGCCTCCTACACCCTCTCTGCCCCCCAGTGGGGATCATCCCCCTACTGAGCCTGCAACCCAAGCATGTGCCCTGATTGGAAATAGAACCAGTGACCTCTTGGTAGCTGAATTGAAGCTCAACTCCCGTTTTGAAGATGAAATTAGATAATCCACAGAAATTTCTTAATAGATTGCCCAGTGCACAGTAAGTACTCAATTACTAGAATCAACCTTAATTTCCTCACTCTGAAATTTTGTCTAAACACTTTTAAATTCTGTTTGCAATTACCCAAGAATGTTTCTTTCTGCCCTGTGTAATATGCTGTCTTCCTGTAAAGTGCAAACACACACACACACACACACACACACACAGGCTGTTCATTAAGAAGAGCTCTCTGTCATGGGTGTCCACTGAATAATTCTTGTTCCCTTTTGTGACATGCATTTGGGATACGCTTTACTGAATCAGGAAAGAGCCTTGAAGCAATGAATAAGCATGTCCCCAGAGCAATGCTAATTGGAGGATTCCAGCTTAACCCTGTGACCTTGGTTCAGGGTTCACCACGAGTGTAGCCACCAGGTCCAGACCACAAGTACAATCCAGGCACAGAGATTTCTCTGTGAAATAGAAAGTCCAAATGCGGTGCTGGAACCAAGAGAAGAAAGAAAAGCGTGAGTGGGAGTTCAGGCTTTTATTGCTCTCTCCTTCTCCTCCTGTGTCCAGGAGTCAGAGATAGCGGACAGGCCAGTGTTACTCCAAGTAAAACTACACACAAAGGGTTTAACTCACCTCCAGGGAAGGGCTGGGAATACTCGAGTCCTGCCCAGGAACCTAAATTTAAAGCAAAGCACATTTTGGACATTAAAATCAATGCAGGGAACAGGACTGTAGGAAGCAGTACACCAATCCCACAGATCTCCTGTCAGGGACTGAGGTCACAGGGATGCAGATTTATTCTATTTTTGAAGCCTAGCCCTCCTGGTAATCAGAAAGAAGTTAAAATAATAATAATAATAATAATAATAATAATAATAATAATAGAGGAGAATCCAAGATGGCTGCTCGGGTAGGCAACTAGCCGCAGCCGCACACAACAATTTCAATAAAATACAACTAAAATATAAAATGGACATTACCCAGAACTACAGGAAAGTTGACTGACTGGAAATTCTACAACAAGAAGCAAGGAGAAAACCAGAAGGAAGCGCGGAGGAGCTGTAAAAGCCCACGGTACAGAGACACGCGGCGCGCGCGCACGGAGAGGACATAGCCGGAGAGGAGGGAGGCCGAGTGCCTGGCTGGCGGTCCCAAGCGGGAAGGAGAGAAAAGCTCCGACTGTGCTGGGCCCAGCTCCAACTGCTCTGAACCCCAATTCTAGGCCAGACCCCGGGGACCCAGGCTAATCCATAGGGAGCCGGGCTGTAAGGCGGGACTCCGGGGAAGCAGCGAAAGGAGGTCCCGGAGGCGTGCACATTGAGCACAGAGAAGGGACGGCAGGCTGTGCCGCAGGATTGCCCTGGCGGGAAGGAGACAGGGGCTCCAGACTGCTCTGAACACCACCTCCAATCCCACTACCAACTGAACTGAACCCCAATACCGGACTCATTGGGGGAGAGCATAGACAGTTTGGCAGCAGGCGAAAATCGAGGGCACCTTTCTCTTAGAGGCGCTCGCAACAAGTACTGAAGGACCCTGAGTCTCAGGAGTCGCATAGGGCGGGGCTGACGGAAGCCAAGGCTGTAGGCTCCACCCTGAAACCCCGCCCCATCAGGAAAGCTGCCTGCGAAAATGCCTAAACCAAATAGATCACAAACGAAAGAAATGGAGGACAAAAAGTGACTGGATATAGAGTTCAAAACCACACTTATAAGGTTTTTCAAGAGTTTCCTAGAAAAGGCCGATAAAATAAATGAGACCTATGAGGATATGAAAAGGGATCAACAAGAAATAAAGCATACATTGTCTGAAATAAAAAATATTATACAGAGTCCTAAAAACAGAATGGAAGATCACAAGAATCAAGTCAAAGATTTGGAACATAAAGAGCCAGAAGACACTCCTCTGCAGAAGCTAGAAGGCAAAAGAATCCAGAAAATTGAAGATGATGTAAGAAACCTCTGGGACAACTTCAAACGATCCAACATCAGAATTATGGGGGTCCCAGAAGATGAGAGAGAGCAAGATATCGAAAACATACTGAAAGAAATAGTGACAGAAAACTTCCCCCACCTGGTGAAAGAATTGGACTTACAAGTCCAGGAAGCACACAGAACTCCAAATAAAAGGAATCCAAAGAGGACCACACCAAGACAAATCATAATTAAGATTCCAAGAGCAAAAGACAAAGAGAGAATATTAAAAGCAGCAAGAGCAAAGCAGGTAGTTACCTATAAAGGAGCACCTATACGATTGTCAGCTGATTTCTCAACAGAAACCATGCAGGCCAGATGGGAATGGTAAGAAATATTCAAGGTGATGAGTAGCAAGAACCTACAGCCAAAGATAATCTATCCAGCAAAGCTATCACTCAGATTCGAAGGTCAGATAAAGAGCTTCACTAATAAAAAAAAGCTAAAGGAGTTCATCACCACCAAACCAGAATTATATGAATTGCTGAAGGGGGTTCTTTCAGAAGAGAAAGTAAATAAAGATAAAAATTATGAACAACAAATACGTAACTATCAACAAGTGAATCTAAAAACCAAGGAAACTAAAAAAAAAAATCTGAGGAACAATATTAACTGTTGAATATAATAGAATCAGAGGTATGGAAGGGGAGTGAACTGTTTATTCTTGGGGAAAAGAGGAGAGGGGGATGTGGGAAGAGACTGAACATAAACTGTGCACCTATGGATGAGGACAATGGGGGGTGGGGAAAGGGCAGAGGGTGGGGTGAGAAGGGGGGGGGGAGGAACATTTGTAATAATATGAACAATAAAAATTTATTTAAAAAAAATAATAATAATAATAATAATAATAAAATTAAATTTAAAAAAGCCGAAGCGGTTTGGCTCAGCGGTAGAGCGTCAGTCTGCGGACTGAAAGGTCCCAGGTTCGATTCCAGTCGAGGGCATGTACATTGGTTGCGGGCACATCCCCGGTAGGGGGTGTGCAAGAGGCAGCTGGTCGATGTTTCTCTCTCATTGCACTTTCTAGCTCTCTCTCTCCCTCTCTGTAAAAAATCAATAAAATATATTTAAAAAAAAAAAAAAAAAAAAAAAAAAAAAACTAGCTGTTCCCTCTTACACAGTTCCACAGAAAGTTCAAGAAATTTGTAGGGAGCTGGCCATTACTCTCAATTTTAGGGTGGTGCAGAGAAGAATCATCCCCTTTTATGCTCTGCCTTGAAGCAACGAATAAGCAGGTCCCCAGGGCAATGCTAATTGGAGGATTCCAGCTTAACCCTGTGACCTTGGTTCAGGAATCAACACGAGTGTAGTCACCAGGTCCAAAATCACAAGTACAATCCCACCCATTCTCCTTTACCTGATGGACATTGAGCCAAAATGAAGAAAAAGACAAAAACAAAATACAGCATCTTCCTGCTCAAGGCCATTGTGGGCAGAAGACGTGTCTCTGCATCTCTGAGGGAACAGGAGGCTCACTTATATTTGAGAACCATGTGCCCTGCTCTTGGCCAGTGAAGTGAATCAACAAAGAGAGCACACGGACATGCTCCATTTCCCAGGTTCAAGAGCAGACAGGATGGGGACAGCCCTCAGCCTCCGTTAACCTTCCTGGGGTCATGGAAAGAACAGCAGGGGGCGTTGAAGCCCAGGGCCTCACACAGCTGTGCCCAGGAAGGGGGAGTCAGTTCCTCCTCCATCAAATGGAAGAGAGAACATGGGCCTCCCACCGGCCTCTCCAGGTGCTGCGAGGCTCTGTGTGGTGATGTCTGGACACCGGGGTCCTCACTGGAGGCCTGGCCCGAGCTCAGCAAGGTGGGCCAGCACAGCCCTGGCTCCCATGATATTGTCTGTAAATGACTCAGGAGGAAGGGGGGAAGCAGTCAGGCCAGCACACAATCCCTGAGCCAGTAACAATGTCACCCAGCAGGTCCGAGTCATGTGACCAAGTCCTGGGAATTCATGAAGGATGTAGGAGTTAGAAGTCGTCTTCATGTCACTGCAGCCAAGACTGCCTACCCTGTTGCTTCTGACCAAGCGATGCTCTGTCCTCTGTTTCTGGAACAGACAACAGGACCACCCACCAGTGAGTCTTCTGAGGACAGACGGACTGAGTTTTTAAGGAGATGACCTTAAACAGGTCGCTTAATTTTTTTGAACTTCACATTTCTTATTCTTAACATCAGGATGTAGTCGTGGCAGGGCCTCATAGGACATCGGAGGGAGTGGCCTGAAAGAAGGGGTGGAAAGTCTGACCTGAGTACCTAGCTCTGGAGACTGGTACGACCTCACTCTTGGCTCCATCCAGCTTGGAGCCAGCTTCTCCGGAAGTGCTTTTTCAGGGCCACCGTTCTCGAGGGACTGTCCTGGCCGGAGAACATGCCAGCACTGATGGTGGCATGCTTGTCCCCAGGCCTTGGAAGGTCACCTTCAGGAACACAATCTTGTGTGTGTGGGGATAGGGCTTAGTTTTTTAAGGTGATGTTTGGAAGAGAATAGGGAAATTTTGCATTTTTAATCTATCATTCTTAACTGGATTATTAATAATTTATAATGAACATGCACACAAAAAATACCTAAAAATGTCATAGTGACCAAGGCTGAGGATGGATAGGACATCCCCTAATAGTCTTTTTAAGTAAGAATATTCAGTTAATGAAAAATTTTAAAGATAGTACAGTACCCTTCCCACCCACCCCTATTATAATATCCACATTATTAATTACTAATGCTAATAACCATGGCATCTGTTCTTACATAAAATTTTGAAGGCTATTTAAATACATATTTAACACCTAAACTATTACTACTACTACTACTACTACTACACACACACACACACACACACACACGCACACACACATGAAATGTCAATCAAGTACCCCATAAGCTCACAACTATCCAGGGAGCTGTTTGAGAATTTACTCTGATGCATGTGGCACTTAAAGTGTGTGGCATACAGGAAGAGTTGCTTTTTTTAAAAAAATTGATTTCAGAGAGGAAGGAAGAGGGAGATAGAGACAGAATCATTATTAGCTTCCTCCTGCATGCTCCAAACTGAGGATTGGGCCCACAACCCGAGCATGTGTCCTGACAAGAAATCAAACCGTGACCTCCTAGTTCATAGGTTGATGTTCAACCACTGAGCCACCTGACCAGGCAGGAAGAGAGAGTCACATCCTATCTAATAAAAGAGTAATATGCAAATTGACCATCACTCCAACACACAGGTGGCTGCCCACATGTAGTCAAAGATGGCCACCCACAGGTGGACACAAGATGGCCAGCAAGGGAGAGCAGTTGTGGGCAATCAGGCCAGAAGGGGAGGGCAGTTGGGGGGATCAGACTGGCAGGGGAGGGCAGTTACAGGTGACCAGACTGGCAGGGAAGAGCAGTTAGGGGCAATCAGGCTGGCAGGGGATTAGTTAGGCATCAATCAGGCTGGCATGGAAGTGGTTAGAGGTGATCAGGTTGGAAGGCAGAAGCAGTTAGGGGCAATCAGCAGGCAGGCAGTTGAGTGGTTGGGAGCGAGCAGTCCTAGACTGTGAGAGAGATGTCTGACTGCTCATTTAGGTCTAGATCTAAACGGGCAGTCGGATGGAAAGTCCTCGAGGGGTCTCAGATTGAAGAGGGTGCAGGCTGGGTTGAGGAACACACACACCATACACGAATTTCATGCTCTGGGCCTCTAGTTTTAAAATAAATGGTGAGCCTAGGGGTTGAGCACCAACCTATGAATCATGAAGTCACAATTCAATGCCTGGGTTTCGGACTCAATCCCCAGTGTGGGGAGTGAAGGAGGCAGCCAATCAATGATTCGCATCATTGATGTTTCTCTCTCTCTCTCCCTCTCCTTTCCTCTCTGAAATCAATAAAAATGTATTTAAAAAGATAAATGGTGATGGGTATGCCCCATGAAGCAATGTGCCGAGTGTGTGCGGCTCATAGATACTGGCGCGGGAACCCAGTCGCCCCTGGGCTTGGCACCAGCTCTGCCCGACACATTGGGACATCACCCAGGTCCTGCCAGTGTGCGGGGAGCAGACTACGGCTGTCATGGCGCGTTGGTAGGGTTAGAAATCCCAGCTGCGTCTCAATCGCTGACACATACCCATAAGAAAACAATCCTAATGGGATTATTTAGAAACAAAAGTACAGATCCGTTCAGAAAGGTAAGAAGCGGAGAATCCAAGATGGCTGCACAGGTAAATACCTAGCCGCAGCCGCACACAACAATTTCAATAAAATACAACTAAAATATAAAATAGACATTACCCAGAACTACAGGAAAGTCGACTGACTGGAAATTCTACAATGAGAAGCAAGGAGAAAACTAGAAGGAAGAGCTGAGGAGCTGTAAAAGCCTAAGGTACAGAGACACACGGCGCGCGCGGAGAAGACGAAGCCGGAAAGGAGGGCGGCTGAGGCCTGGCTGGCATTCCCTACCAGGAAGGAGATAAAAGCTCCAACTGTGCTGGGCCCCAGACCCGACAGCGCTGAACCCCAGTTCTAGGCCAGACCCTGGGGACCCAGGCTTAAATAGAGGGAGCTGGGGCTGTGAGGTGGAATTTCAGGGGAGCAGCGAAAGGCAGAGCCCCCGGAGGTGTGCACATTGAGTGCAGAGGACGGACTGTTGACTCTGCTGCTGGATTGCCCTAGCGGGAAGAAGACAAAGGCTCCGGACTGTGCTGGGTCTCAGTTTCAACTGCTCTGAACCCCAGTTCTAGGCCAGACCCCAGGGACCCAGGCTCATACAGAGGGAGCTGGGCTGTAAGGCAGAACCCTGGGGGAGCGGCGAAAGGAGGTCCCGGAGGCGCGCACATTACACGCAGAGAAGGGACAGTTGGCTGTGCTGCGGGATTGCCCTGGCGGGAAGGAGACAAAAGCTCCAGACTGCTCTGAATGCCACCTCCAACTCCACTTCCAACTGAACCGAATCCCAGTTCCGGGCTCATTGGGGGAAAGCCTAGACTGTTTGTAGCAGGCAAAACTCGAGGGCACCTTTCTCTCAGAGGTGCTTGCAGGGAGTACTGAAGGACCCTGGGGAATACTGAGACTCAGGAGCCGCATAGGGCGGGGCTGACGGAAGCCAAGGCTGTAGGCTCCACCCTGAAACCCTGCCCCATCCAAGCAGAACACAGAGACTTTTAAGGCTACTAACTCAGGGAAGCTGCGAAAATGCCAAGACAAGAAAATAGATCACAAACGAAAGAAATGGAGGACAAAAAGCGACTGGATATAGAGTTCAAATCTACGCTTATAAGGTTTTTCAAGAATTTCCTAGAAAAGATGGATAAGACCTATGAGGATATGAAAAGGGATCAACTAGGGTTAATAAGAAATCAGCAAGAAATGATAAGGGATCAACAAGAAATGATAAGGGATCAACAAGAAATAAAGAATACATTGTCTGAAATAAAAAAATATTATACAGAGTCCTATAAAAAGAATAGAAGATTGCAAGAATCAAGTCAAAGATTTGGAACACAGAGAGCCAGAAGACACTCCTCCGCAGAAGCAAGAAGGCAAGAGAATCCAGAAAATTGAAGATAATGTAAGAAATCTCTGGGACAACTTCAAGCGAACCAACATCAGAATTATGGGGGTCCCAGAAGATGAGAGAGAGCAAGATATCAAGATATCAAAAACATACTGAAAGAAATAGTGACAGAAAACTTCCCCCACCTGGTGAAAGAATTGGACTTACAAGTCTAGGAAGCGCACAGAACTCCAAACAAAAGGAATCCAAAGAAGACCACACCAAGACAAATACTAATTAAAATTCCAAGAGCAAAAGACAAAGAGAGAATATTAAAAGCAGCAAGGGCAAAGCAGGTAGTTACCTATAAAGGAGCACCTATACGATTGTCAGCTGATTTCTCAACAGAAACCATGCAGGCCAGATGGGAATGGCAAGAAATATTCAAGGTGATGAATAGTAAGAACCTACAGCCAAAAATAATCTATCCAGCAAAGCTATCACTCAGAATGGAAGGCCAGATAAAGAGCTTCACTAATAAAAAAAAAAGCTAAAGGAGTTCATCACTGCCAAACCAGAATTATATGAATTGCTGAAGGGGGTTCTTTCAGAAGAGAAAGTAAATAAAGATAAAAATTATGAACAACAAATACATAACTATCAACAAGTGAATCTAAAAACCAAGGAAGCCGAGACCGGTTTGGCTCAATGGATAGAGCGTCAGCTTGGGGACTGAAGGGACCCGGCTTCGATTCTGGTCAAGGGCATGTACCTTGGTTGCGGGCATATCCCCAGTAGGGGGTGTGCAAGAGGCAGCTGATCGATGACTCTCTCTCATCGATGTTTCTAGCGCTCTCTCTCCCTTCCTCTCTGTACAAAAATCAATAAAATATATTTTTTAAAATAAAATAAAATAAATAAAAACCAAGGAAATTAAAAAAACAAAACGAAACATTGATGAACAATATTAACTGGTGAATGCAATCGAATCAGAGGTATGGAAGGGGAGTGAACTGTTTATTCTTGGGGAAAAGGGGAGAGGGGGATGTGGGAAGAAACTGAACATAAACTGTGCACCTATGGATGAGGAGAATGGGGGGTGGGGAAAGGGCAGAGGGTGGGGTGGGAACCTGGTGGAGGAGAGGAATGGAGGGGGCAGGGGGAGAAAGAGGAACATTTGTAATAATATGAACAATATTTATTTTTTAAAAAAATCCGCAGCTCCTTTGCCCCTGCTGACACGTATGTCTGTGCTGGGTCCTCAGTGCACACCTGCTCTGCCCTGCCCTCCCACGTTCTTTCTTGGGAACTGTCCAGAGTAAAAACACCACCCGGACAAGATGCAGGCTGACACCCACTGAGGTACGTGGGCTCAGTGCAGCGAGTACAGAGACAGTTCTACATGCCTCAGCGATCAAGATGGGATTGGGTCTGGGAAATCACATAAATGGGCTTACTTGCTTCATTTTTCATGGACATCAAGCCAGTCTCTCCAAACCCTGCAAGTCATGAAGACGATCCTCTTTCTCCTCGGTGTTTTCCTTTTGGACTCAGGTAACATGAGCCCCTTTGCAGGATGTCATCGGAGGTGGTGGACCGGAGACCGGGCCGGCCTCAGGGAGGACGTGGCCAAGGCCTGCTCCAGAATCCAAGGGTGCCCTGGGCCCCATGGCCCTCAGGGGACCACTGGCTCCAGGAGTGACACTCCCCTCG